TTTCTGTATCAATTATTGTGTTTGTGCATGAGTGTGTATAAATGTGCTTGAGTGCTTGTGTGAGTGTGTGTTAGTGTGTGCGTGTTTCTGCGTGTGTGCGTGTGTGCGAGTGTGTGTGTTTGTGACAGAGAAAGAGAGAGAGAGAGAGAGAGAGAGAGAGAGAGAGAGAGAGAGAGAGAGACAGAGACAGAGACAGAGACAGAGATAGAGGGAGAAACGATAAAGTTGGGATAGCATTAATTATTTGTGTTTTTAATGTCATGTGCGTACACAAGTGTTTGCATAATTTGGAAATGTTAGAGGTTTGGGCTGGGTTTTTTCTGATGTCTTTTTTGTATATATGTCTGCGGGTGTGCATTGTGTTTATGTGAAGTTATCAATTGTTAATATCTGTGTGCGGATTGGATTTGTGAAGGGTAATTTAATGTCATGTTCACCTTCAATATCTCTATATCCCTCCCTTTTCTCTCGCAATTGCTTTTGTGCACACACACAGACACACACACACACACATACCCACACACACACACACACACACACACACATATACACACACACATACACACACACTTACACACAAACATACACGTGTGTACATCTTCATCCACTGCCTGTCTTTCTTTTGTTTTTTCTTTTTGTTTTTTAAATTTGTTTACTCTCGCTCTTACACCACTTCTCTCGTCCCCTCTTTCACCCTTTAATCTCCCTCACCTCCCCCAACCCCTTTCTCCACCAGTCTTTCAACCTCCTCCTCCTCCCTCTTCCTACCTCATTTCCCCTATCCGTTCTCTCTCTTAAAAAACATCCCGATCTCATCCATCTCGCCCCAGTAAACAGAGACGACGTTTGTGTGAAATGGTTCCTAAAATAACTTGCGCTTGCAGACACCAGTTGCAGATCCAAGGCCCATCTATCTCATCATCTTCGATTCCGGATTTTAATCCAGTATCTGAAAGATCCTGTTTCCTCAATCCCATCTCGTGTCCTCGCTGTTTCAAAGTGGGCTTCTAGCTCCTCTCTGTGCCCTGCTGGTGGCGCTGTTGACTAAAGGACTTACCTTCTAAAACTATTACTCTTGTTGAAGCTCTTATAGTCCTAGTGTATATATTTTTTAATTCCCTGTTTAGTCCCTTATCACTTTAGTATAACTCTGTCCTTACCCTTCCCCTTTCTCCGCTATCTGTCCCCCTCTTTCTGCCCCCCCTCTTTCTCTCTCTCAGTCTCTCTCTCTCTCTTTCTCTCTCTCTCTCTCTCTCTCT